AGAGTGGGTATAAGAAAGACTTTAAAAACAAACCAATGGTAGAGAAAAGGTTTACAAAAAATAACAAGAGGACATTGGATGAAACTAAATCTAAATGGTGGCAAATTGGAAACTGATGAAAGGAATTTTTCACACAATGAGCAGCTAACCTGTGGAACTCATTGAGGTAAAATAACATCGAGGCCAAGATCTTTGTAAATACAAAACAGTGTATATTTATTTGAATAACAAGAATGAATACCTGGAGATATAACAAGAAGAATTTAAAATATAATTAATAGCTTTAGAATAATTTAAAATGTCATTAATAACGTTAGCAGGAATACAAACAAACCACTTCTTTATAACTGCTTATTCAGGGGCGTTCTTGCACCTTCCTCTGAAGCAGCACATATTGGACACAGTTTGAGACAGGCTACTGGACCAGATAGGTCTCTGGTGTGAACCATTAGGACAATTCCTAAGTTCCCAATTCCTGGAGGTATTTTAGTCTGTCTTTATGGCTTTGGAGCCTGGAATTGGACCCATAATAACTAAGAGTCAAGTATTACCCTGAAATATAAATGGAGAAAAACCCTACTCCCTTCTAGTAACAGCACCAAAGTGCTTTAGCAGCCTAAGTCCCATTTTGAAAGGTGACTTTGGTATTAGAAATACAAGTTCCATTGTCTGTCAGTGAGTCTTAGTTTTCTAAAGTGCTTAGGCCATTTTTGAAAATGAGTCAGATGCTTTTGAAAATTTTACTCATTACCCCCAAAGTAGCACATATTAACACAAACCTGTATAAACACAAACTACCCACCTCATCAAACTGTTCTAAGTAGGCAATCTCACTGAGTCTTCACTGATGGGGGGGTCATTTTAACTTTCTCTTCCGACTCACATAAGGGCTACAGTAATATAATTGCTACAGTCTTAGAATCTTCTAATGATTAGGGGTTTAATAATTTTAAATGAAAGTACAAAGATTACAACCATGAAGCATCAGGTAAAATTGCCTTGAAATTTCAGTCATACATATACTGAAAGGGGAAAGAAATCAATGCTTTTCTTGATTTTATTCAAGAAATCAATGCTTTTCTTCATTTAATAATGATTCATTGGATTTGTCTATTTTTATGTGGATGTTTACAAACTGTAAAAGAATAACTATTCAGTACTCTGGGTGCCCTTCACAAACTTTAAAAAATATCCTAAATACATAAATGGACACTCAGTTCAATGTCCCCTGACTGAGAAATTTTGGTGTGTCTAGATTATAGGGTTTTTTAGAAAAAAGTGGCCTTTTTTCAAAAAAAACTTCCCCTGTATCTAGACTGCTGCCACATTCTTTTGAAGGTAAATCGAAAGAACGTGGCATTTTTTTCGACTGCGGAAAACCTCGTTTTACGAGGAATAACGCCTTTTTCAAAAGTGTTCCTTCGAAAAAAGGCGCTATGTAATGTAAACTGTGCTTTTTTGAAAGAGAGCATCGAGACTGCCTACGTGCTCTCTTTCAATAAAGCGGCTTTCTTTTTTGAAAGTACTGGTTGTAGTCTAGACACTCTTTTTCGAAAGAGGCTTTTTTTAAAGTATCTTTCGAAAAAGCCTCTTTCGAAATAGGCTTGCAGTCTAGACGTAGTAGGCATAACATTGATATAATACACATTAATAATCTCACACACAATCTCCAGAGTCCCACACCTTTACTACCTAGCTCTATCCAAGACCCACATGTTCATGGGCAAGGGAGAAAGGAGCTTGCAGCATGCCCTCAAGGCTTATAAACTCAAGCTGTTATGGACCTAGGAGGATGAGGGTTAAAAATGCCCAAGATTCTAACACAGAGCAACCTTCCAGTCAGTTCCCCACTTATAGGAATAGTGCTTCAGCTGACTGCAACTGTATCACTATGTCACAGGGAGAGAAGTAAATGTTAGATGCAGTGAAACAAGAAATACATATTTATGAACAAGTTTCATTTTCAGTTACAGTAATTAAGACATAAATGATAAAATGTATCATATGTTATGGCTCCTTCCAGGAATAAAGTAGGTCAGAGAAAAAATCTTCTTTAATAAATGTGAGATTCTACACAGTTTTTGCATGCTGGTGTCATTGGCTACTGTTGCAAACAGGAATCTGTTGTATAGCCTTTTATTTTTTCACTGGTATTAGTGTACTCAAAACGATGATCCCATTTTGCCTATTCATGGAACCTACAACTTGTCAGAAATTGATCTTTTTCTATTCATCTTATGCAAAATGGAGCAAAATTGTAGTGTACCTGAGTGTCTTACAGCATACATGTGGCACTTCCCATAAACTTTACATCTATGTGACCCTTGCCAGGGGAAATGAGGCTGAGGGCTACTTTATTAAAAGCCATGAAAGTGGGATGTTCCATGTTTGGCAACCACTGATAGAATGCCAGAAAGCAAGAACTTACATTAATTAATAAGCTGATATCAATTGACTCAAAGGAGGCATCACGTTCTCTCTGAATGTTGCATGTGAGATAATAATTAACAAAATAATTGCTACCACATCTTTGTGTAATTGTTGAGAATTATTCACTTTGTTAAATGGTTACTGGCCTGCCCACCTTCCCTTATCCATGTAACTGTAGAGCAGGAAATCATAATTTCAGATAAAATGCAAGAACTGTTGAATGGAAGAGAGATACTATGCTCTCCAATATATCTCCCCTCCCAGTTGGCTCCTACCACTTGAATTGTGCCATAATCCCTCCTCCCCCTTAATAGTTGATAAATTCAACCAGAAAGTGAGGTTGCTTGCAGTGAAAAGAGGGGGAATCTAATCATTCCTTTTCTCGTTTAAACAAAGTCACTATACTGGAAATGTTTACACATAACTCTCAAAATGTGTACTGGGCCAGGTTATCCCTAGTATAAACATGGATCACAGGAGTGTCAGAGTAGCACCTTGTTGGATCTGAGCAATCTTGGGTGTGCAGAGCGTTTCAAATGGAGAGGGGGAGGGGGAAGGGGAAGCGAAGGGGAGGTGGGAAAGACCTTGAAAGGGAACCTACGTTACTCTTGTAGGGGAAACTTTTTGGGAATGCCTGGTGCGATTTGCTATTCAGAAGGCGCAGAGCACTTGCTCTGGAGCTGGATTGTTATCAGCCCGTAAAATAAACTCTCGCCGGCGAGGTGATTAAGTGATTTTCAGAGTGCGGGCGAGTTCCCTCCGAAAGCAAGGAAATCATTTCAACCCAACCTTCAATTTGGTCCTGGAATATTAACGAAGCTTTCCTCCCCCGCGGCCTCAAATCCCCTCCAGGGTATCACTGGGAAGCGTCCCACCAGCAGGCTCCTATAAATCTCTCCGCCCCGTCCACCCATCTTCCCTTTTTTCCACGATGTAATGTGCTTTGCTGCAAGAGCGCTCAGCCTCAGGGCTGGAACCTCTGCGGGGGCAGCGCAACTCAGTCAGGGCCACTGGCAAAAGCTGCCCTTTGGCCTGTCCTGGCAGCGGGGAGCGGGTCTCAAGGGCGCGCGCCCTGCGCTGTCCGGACAGTGGGGAGCCTGCTGGGGAGTGCGGGGAGTTTGCAGGGCTCATGCTCCCCTGCACCCCTAGGATCTTTGGGGGGGGGGAATCACCCCTCCCCCCTCACCCGTCCTCTTGCCCCTCTTCGGGACACGTTGTCACTCTCTCAGACACCGCCCCACCCCCCACAAAAGCTGTCACGCACCCCCTCCTCTTTCCAACCCCCCCCCCCCGGG